AAACTACTTTACATCACGAATATAACACTATCAAAATTGCATTTTTTGACTTTATACTTAAAGAGAAATCAATGGTCATAGTTTGACACAAACTCCCAAAGTTACCTTCATTTCGGGACTGATGAGTAATAACCTGTGAAGCAACAAAGCAGGCCACATGACGATTTTCTCTGTGTTTGTTGACAAAGACTGATATGATTTAACCGTATATTTGTATCATCATCTAAATTTGTAACATCATCTTCATTTACATCTCCTTCCATATATCATTAGTCTCATTATCTTTATCTATGCCAAATTTGTCGCCTAGTCGTCCTTGAACTATCATATTTTACACTCTCCAATTTAGTTAATAGATCGCGCTTAATTGTCAGCTGGTGGGGTTATCTATTCATTAGTTGATTGTAGTTCCATACTTACTGACGTTTAAGGTGTTTCCAGGCTTATTTTCCCACTTATGTCTTTTTCTGCATTCAGATGCTTCCTTCAAAGGATATCAACTTCATGGGTTACACATACAAGAACTACGAGATTGTGAATGAAAGTGGAGCTCCTGGAATCGGTACCTCCCTCATCCCCTTCTAAAATTTGCGTCTCTTTTTCCCTTGCTAGGGGAATTTAATCCTGAAGTGTCGCGTAGTACTTACATGTCTTTAATGGGTTTTTTAAAATTACTCTTAGCTGAAGTGAAGAAGAAGAGCACTAAGCCTAAGAGACCAAGCATAAAGACCCTTTTCAGTACGTCTTCTCTCCCTCTCTTCTTCGCGTACTTCAATTTCTGCATCTGCCCTGTGCAACTCACTCTACTGCATTGCCCTTTAATTTTGGCACCCGTTTCACAGTTTTTTTTTTTTTTAAAATGTTTATTTATTTTGACAAAACAAATCATGTTTTGGCAATTGAGGCAAACATTTCATTCAATTTCCAAAGAATAAAAGTGTTGAATGCCACAGGTGAAGATTCAGAATCGGGTTCGACCCAATCGGCGAAGGGGAGTTTTCTGAATCTCTTGCCTCCACCACCAGAAGTCTCAAAGTCGGGCGAATCAGAACCTCACTAACCCCTGTAACAAATTAGCATCAGGCTGGTGACTTTGACCAACTATAGGAAACCAAACATATTACATACAGCAGCATAAAGTACTCGTCTACTGATCTTAATCATTCCCAAACCAAGAAGCTCTCTGGTTGTGGTGTGTGCAATTTAACTACTAAGCATTAAGTACCCGAAACGAACTGCATTTTGTTGCAATGGCTCCCGTTGATCATTTTGTGCAAAAATTCGTTCGTGCGGTGCATATAAAGGCGTTCTTTGTTACTGCAGTGGTTTGTGTTTTGAGCTTTTGTAATCTGCCTTCTTACCACTGAAATGCCACATTTTATAGTGGCATAATGTATTCCAGATATATTACATTGAGTGAAGTTCTGTCTTTGCTCAAGTCCAGGGAGGTGTTGGTATTCTCCAAATTTCACATAATTCTTGTACATCTTTTTGCATAATTTGAAAAAAAAAAACAATTTAAAATATTAATCATGATAGGTAATTAAAAAAATGATAGTAAGCATATGTATACTACTTTCCGTCTTATATTTTTCTTCCATGAAAAGATTACGTTGCATTCCAATATAGACTTAATATCAATAAATTTATTTTGAAATGCAATGTATCATATTTTTATGCTCCCGTAATAAAAGTCTATAAAAATAAAAATATTAATAGTCGAAGTATTGTATTGAATATCATGAAAAGTAAAAGCAGAAGATAGATATGAGATGCAATTAAAAAGTAATAATTATGTGTAAATTATTACATGTACTCAAGGTTCAATATAGGCTTCCATATATGCTAAACAAGTATTTTTAAAATAAAAAATACTCCGTATATGAGAATGTTCATGTGCACCTTAGGCCCGATACATAATTACTCATAATTATACCAAACAATTAAAAATATAGTTGTGCTAGGTGTACACTACTTACACACCATGTTTTGTATTGGTATATATCGACACAAAATACTGTGTTACACATGTATTTTATTGAAAACATAGTGTACATGGTGTGTGCAAGTAACATTTTTGTTGAAAATGTTTACAACTTTACATGGGATGACCCGTGGGCGTTCCGGTGCCCCGTTCATAAAATTGATGGTTCCTATCCCTTCTAACTCTCCCGGTAAACCCCCCACCCCTTTCAATCGCACCCTGATTTTGACTTTAGAGTCAACATTTGACTCCAAAATCAAAATCAACTTGCGGGGTGTAATTGAAGAAGGTGAAGATTTACCGGAGGAGTTAAGAAGGACCATTAATTTTATGAACGAGGCACCGGAGTGTCTCCAAATTATCCATGACAATGTGGTTCAATGTCATGGCCAATACGAACCCCACCTTAAGTAGTTAAGTTGTCTTACTAAAAGTCTAAAATATGTGCATAATACTCCGGCAACGCGGCAAAAGGTTGCCGTTGCTAAACGGTATATAGAAAATCAATACCTATACAAAGAGAGCAAATGAAGCTCGATCGTAGCTCGCCTGAAAACCTCTTCAGAACCCTGTCGGCGAACCCATCGGCGATCATCAAAACAGAGTCCCAAGCCAGGCAGCTGCACGCCCTGATCGTCAAGACCAGACCTTCCTCTTCCCGGCCATGTCTCCCCACCCTTCTCCTTTCCATCTACTCCAATTTCAACCTCTTACAGGAATCCCTCTCGCTCTTCCACTCCCTCCCATCTCCGGCGCCGCACAAGGCCTGGAAATCCATCGTCAAATGCTATGCCTCCAATGGCTTCTTCTTCGAATCTTTGCGTTCTTTTGTCCAGATGCTAGCTTCTGGGAAGTGCCCGGACCGGAACGTGTTCCCTTCTGTGCTTAAATCTTGCACGGGTTTGCGGGATTTGAGGCTCGGCGAGTCTGTTCATGGGTATGTTGTGAGGCGTGGGCTGGAATGTGATCTTTTTACTGCGAATGCTCTCATGAATATGTATGCCAAGTTGCAGTGTTTGGATGACCTCAACTTGTTCGATGAAATTCCACAGAGAAAGAAAATCGATGCACCTGAGAATGTTTTCCGGGGGACATTTGAATTGGCTCGTGATTCGAAGAGTATTGATCGGGAACCCTGGTTGGATCTTACTAACAGAGATGGAGAGAGGAGAGTGGGTAAATGTTTGAAAGTGGATAGTGTTAGGAAATTGTTTGAGATGATGCCAAATAGGGATATGGTTACTTGGAACACAGTCATTGGGGGTAATGTACAAGGTGGGATGCATGATGAAGCTCTAGAGATGGTTAGGGAGATGGGGGATTCCAATTTGAAGCCCAATAGTTTCACTTTGTCCAGTATCCTTCCTATCTTTGCTGAGCATGTGGACATTTTGAAAGGAAAGGAAATTCACGGTTATGCAATCAGGCATGGGTTTGATAAAGATTTGTTTATTGGGAGTAGTTTGATTGATATGTACGCGAATTGCACCCTAGTGGAAGATTCTTTCCGGGTTTTCTGCTTGTTAGATGAAAAGGATGACGTTTCTTGGAATTCAATTATTTCAGGATTCGTTCAAAATGGTAGGTTTGATGAAGGGCTGAAGCTGTTCAGGGAGATGCTAGCTGCTAATCAAAGGCCTCTACCAGTTTCTTTCTCAAGTATAATGCCGGCATGTGCTCATTTGACAACACTCCATTTGGGAAAGCAACTCCATGGACACATAACTAGAACCGGATTTGTTGATAACATGTACATATCTAGCTCACTGGTGGACATGTATGCAAAATGTGGGAAAATTGAGACTGCTCGGTCGGTTTTTGATGATATGGTTGCACATGATTCGGTCTCTTGGACATCCATGATCATGGGGTATGCACTGCAAGGACATGCACATGATGCCATCCTTTTATTTGAGAAGATGCAAATGGAAGGAGTGAAGCCTAACTCTGTCGCCTATGTAGCTGTTCTTACTGCTTGCAGCCATGCTGGTTTGATAGACGAGGGCTGGAAACATTTCACAACTATGAGCCAAAAATATGGGATTTCCCCTGGGCTCGAGCACTATGCTGCTGTTGCTGACCTATTTGGCCGAGCTGGAAGGCTAATGGAAGCATATGAATTCATCTCTAACATGCCTATTAAGCCAACAGGGAGTGTTTGGTCCACTCTTCTGTCAGCTTGCCGGGTTCACAAGAATGTTGAACTTGCTGAAAAGGTCGCCATTGAAATGACCAAAGTCGATCCTGAAAGTATGGGTCCCTACGTACTCATGTCAAACATGTACTCTGTAGCAGGACGATGGAAAGATGCATCGAAACTTAGAATTCGTATGAAAAAGAAAGGAATGAGAAAGACACCAGCCTGCAGCTGGGTTGAGGTTAAGAACAAGGTACATGCTTTTGTCTCTGGGGACAAATCTCATCCCCAATATAATCAGATAGAAATGGCATTGAGAGAGATTTCAGAACGGTTGAAGTTAGAAGGATATGTTCCTGGGACGAGCGAGGCCTTGCATGATGTTGATGAGGAACAGAAACATGATTTGTTTTTCGCTCACAGCGAACGAATTGCCATAGCATTTGCAATTATTAGCACACCTGCAGGAACAGCAATCCGGGTGACAAAGAATCTTAGGGTATGTGTGGACTGTCACACAGCCACTAAGTTCATATCCAAGGTTATGGGGAGAGAGATAATTGTTAGAGACAATAACAGATATCACCATTTCAAAGACGGGGCTTGTTCGTGTGGAGACTATTGGTGAAGACAAGTACATCTAATCACGGAGTACATTGAAATGAGAATTCTGGGTATGTTTGGTTTGGTTACGGAGTACTTGTGAATTCATTCAATTCAAGAGATTCATGCAATTGAGGAACCCATTCCTCAACCTCCCCTTCAAGAGTTCAAGAACAATTTGGGTCTTTTTTTGTTCGAAACCTGGCTGGGGCTTTGACTTCAGCAGGTTGAGAAAGTATCTATGAACACGTACTACATTATAATAGAGTCAATAGTTCTAAAAAATGTTGTATAACTCATATCTGGCCATCTGGGAAGCTTCCATGGAAAAGAATTAAAGCTGGGAAACTCAGCATCTGAAAGTACAATGGTGCTGTAAATAAGAGATGAGGATCTTCCGCCTATGCCGCTGCTGCTTTCCATTATTGATTGGGTGGTCAAGGTGATATACACAATGCAAAGAAGCTTTGATTGTCTTCTGACATGTTGGGACATGAAGGTAATTCATACTGCATTCATGTTTGTATTTCACTAATTTCACTAACTTGACCACTCCCACCGCTGGTCTCCAGTCGCCGCTGCCACCTATCACCGGCCGCCACTGCCAGTTGCCGGTCACCTGTTGCCGGTCTATGGTTTTATTTTTCAACCTAAAAAATGGGTGAGCTTCGTGTGTATCTTCGGGGGGCTTTGTACTGAAGAATGGTGAGTTTTGTTGTTAGAGTTTGTGAGCATTGAAACTTTAAAATTTTAAAAATTCTAAGTCTGGGAAGATTATGGTGAGCTATTCCAGATAATTTGGTGAGCTTTGCAGTTGTCGCTTTGCAGTGGTCAGTGGTGAGCTTTGCGAGCATGTAATCTTATCATTAGATGTCATCTTACTGAAGTAAAAAAAATCAAAGGCGCCATGGCCATACTGCTGCCCCCTTCTCTTCTGATCTTCTCCAACCAATCATTTTATTTCCTCATGTTTTTATTTGAATTAAAAGTAGAGTGAATTACCAAAATGATCCTTTCTAATAATATGCATTTCCAAATTAGTCTTCAACAAGTAATAGTTACCAATGTAGTTCTTTGTAATTAAGATACATTCTCTAAATAGTCCTTTGTTAAAAATGTGTATTGAATGAAAATTACATAAATGATATCTTGGTATTCTTCATCATTTAAACTATGAATAAGTCATCGAAATGATCCTTTCAAATTAAGTGGGTGACTGCTAGAGGAATAGGCTCATGGACTCCATTTCCAGAAAACATTTACTTAAAAATTATCAATTTGGATAAATAGTTAATAATAAAAAGAGCATTTCGAGAATATATATTTTAAGACTAGATGATAGGTACCAAAAAACTATTATTTGACTGACATTTAATATACAATCATGATAGAGGTCTATTTATGGAATAAATCTAAATTATAAAGGATCACACAGGTAATTATTAGTTATTGAGGACAAATTTTGGAAAAACACTATAAGGACTGTTTTCAGAATTTACTCTTAAAAATATTAAAAAAACAAATTCTGTAAAAATGAGGGAGCTTTATAGGGCTTTATGCACTACACCATTTTAGGTTCATGGAGTCCCCGATGAGGTGAGTACTATATGGCAGATAATGCCCCTATTGGGACTCCAAGACTACAAATGGTCTTACTTTTACAGCTTGGGCTATGAGCTGTTAGTCTGGTACTTAATTCCATGTTAAAACCTACTCCAATCACCCTGGATAAGAGTATAAAAGCATGAAAAATGCCAAAATAAGAGTTTTAAGTTTTTTATGAATAAAATTAGAGTACAATGAGAGTGTGTTGTAAGAATACACGCTAGCAGTGTGCTGGAAAACTGATGACAATGTTATATGGCGGTGTGATCACTCAACTATCGGCGGCCCACGATGGTACTCTAGTGGCCCGCAGTGACAAATGTGAGTGTGACAATGATAATGTGACAATTACAATGTAATAGTGTGGTGAATGTGACAGTGTAAAAATAACAGTGTGAACTCCTATTTTGGTCTTAAAAAAATTTAGGACTCCTATTTTGGTATTTGCATAGTTTTTACTCTAATCTAGGGAGTTTTCCTTATTTTGAATGATTGAGTGTTTGGCTGAATGCTTGTAATATCTGTTGGAATTGTCGTGAATAAAGCTAGTATTTGCGATTAAAAACCGTGTACATTAAAAAAATTTATTTTCACTTAACTGATTTTAATTACACTTCTCAACTTTACAATATTATTTTAAAAATTTCAAAAAATTAAAGATATTTTTTTTGGGTTGGGGGGGGGGGAGATTTTAGTCCCTCCATCTCTAAATAGATATCAGTGTCACTATTACGGTTGCTGGATAATTTTTGTTTGTTTGTACATTTTTATTGATAATTTAATAAAATAAAATATTCTTACCACTTTTTTTTTTGTAAAATTTTTAATATTTTTTGAATGGTTTAATTTATACTTTGTACTTCTATATATATAAAATACTACCTCCGTCCCAGAGTATTTGTCCACTTTCATTTTTACACACCATCCAATACATTTCTTTAATCTATTTTATCTTGTAATTTGTATATTAAAAAATTATAGAAATTATATATTAATAATCTATATGTTAAGACAAATTAAACAAGATCACACATGACTATCTTTAGGCTTACACATTGAGAGAATTTGATGAGTCAAAGTGCTTAGATGAACAGTTCCAAAAGTCAAAAGTGGACGAATATACCGGGACGGAGGGAGTATAATTTTAAAAATGTTCAAATTTTACGTGTGGTTTAGAATGCGATATTCGGGAAGGAGAAGTTATTGATTTGACTTTAAAAAGTTAGTTGAAACTGGGTCGGACGGAGATGCTAGAAATTGGCCTAATTTGGCGGTCCATGCGTACCACCATCTGTGACGTTACATTCGATGCATAAAACGAACTTCCGTAAAAGCAGCCCCCCCCCTCCCCCTCTCCACATTATTTTTACCCGTACCCGACTTTCAACGGCTATTCTCCTGGCTCATACACTATCTCTCTCCCATTCACTGCGGTCGGTATCCAAAAGCTTCTCTCTCTCTATCCGTACATTTCTCTCTCTCTAATACTCAGTGAAAGCCAGCTCCCCTCCTCCTCACCGCCGCCGCAGTCGGAGCCTTCCTTCGCTCGTCTCCTAGCAGTGCGGAGTAGTGTGCATGTTCTGTTCGAATCGTATCTGGAAGATTTATAGGCTTTGCCGATCTGTAGTGGACTGTTCGTCAGCTTGAATCAACAATGAAGTCCAGCGTTCAGCTTGAATCGGTAGTTTTCCACCTAACTCCAACTCGAACAAGGTAATTTTGCTGCTGGTAATTTGTGTTGTTTGTTTGAGTTTTAAATTTTGCCAGAATTTCTTCGAATGTCGATGTATTTGATGCCATTGGGAGTGTGTATGAGGATGACGAGGAAATTTTGTACATGCATGTCTGTTTAGTGGAGAATGTATTAATCAATGCAGTAATCAGTGTTTTGTTTGTGGATTTTGACTGCTTTGTGCAGGCATACACACTTGATGCCCGTTTGGGACAAGGTTTGTAAGCATTTGTAATTAGAGTTAACATTTTGATTAGTTTGTTAATGGTGCAAATTCAAGAACTTAAACTAGAGACTAACATTGCATTTTTAAAAGGATAAGGATAACTCCGGACGTACTGTATATTGAGCATTTGTATTTGATTATTACTCCGTAGTTTTCTATATAAAAAAGTTGTTGATTAGTTTTCAATTTATCAAGTGAGACAGTCTTCAATCTTTCTGCATGCATCAATGCTGAATGAGTAAAAATTGGCTGCAAATATGTTGCAGGTATTTAAATAGTAAGTATAAAATTTGGTGGCGATTCTCATTGTTTCTAGTCTTGACTCAAGTGAAAATGATTCTTCTCTATGGCAGTGCTAGAAACTGAAACTAAATATGTTGTGCAAAGAGAATTTGATGCATTCATAAATTATTAAAACTTCATTTTTGTTTTGTATGACTTTGTGTTTAGATTGTGTTGGACCCAAACTATATGTCAAGTCGTACCTTCTTAGGTCAACTGGATCACGCTTCTTTAGCTATCTTCCACTCCTAAAAGCTCCTTTGAACTAATTTTGCATTGGCCTTTAATTTTCACTGAAGATTTGACTTCTTCTTTGTTCTTATTGGCAGATGTGATTTGATTATCATAGCTAATGGTAAGAAAGAGAAAATTGCTTCCGGCCTGTTACATCCTTTTCTTGCTCACCTGAAGTCTGCTCAGGATCAAATTGCAAAGGGTGGTTACTCAATTTTTCTTGAACCACATTCTGAGAGTACTATTTCATGGTTTACAAAAGGAACTGTGGAAAGGTGATATGTTAATAAACACATTCTAAGAGTACTATTTGATGAGATGATTTTATTGGTCTTGGCACAACATCATCTGGGTTATTGATGTTAATAAACACTCTGGGGGAGCTATGGTAATGGATTTCACATTTTCACTGACACTTTAATGGACCATGTCAAACTTGCATACATGTTGAAAACTTTCTGGGCAACTAAAAGATCTCTTATTAATTCACTGTGTTGTTTTCTCTTCAAAGGCAGGATGACTCAATGTATATATTCACTGCATTCAGTGTTTCAATGTATACCTGATGTATGTTTTAATTAATGAGATGAAAAATGTCAAAGTGACAATGCAAAGTTGTGATTGTAAGATTTATAGCATTCCATTACATGACATTAAGTATTGTATATGGTAATGATTTTCTCTTAAGGTATGCATACATTCTTTTTGGGAACTCCGATCCAGATTGATTGCAAAAATCATCTCCAAATGAAAGCATTATTCCAAATTTCATGTAGTTCTCTAAACTTAAACTTCATTGCCATGATCATAGCATTTCTTATCACATCATAATCCGTTATGTAGATGATGAATATTTATTTTGAGAACTGTTGACTCTTAGGGCCTAATATTTATTACATGCAATAGGTTTGTTCGTTTTGTGAGCACCCCAGATATCCTAGAAAGAGCAAACATCATAGAATCTGAGATCATACAGATTGAGGAAACTATTGCCATACAAGGGAAAAATCACATTCAACATGGCCTTGAAAGCATTCCATGTCAGGCTGCTTCCTCGTGTCCAGGTTATAATTATATGCTCAATACCTATCTACGGACTACGGGGTATTTTTTTCTTTGACAGGTTTAGAATAGTTGTTGATGAATTTTGTATCTCAGGTGTTTGTTTCAGTTGTGGTTGAATTGAAGTTGTGATGTAAAATTATTGATTAGGATATATTTTTTAAGTAGGAGAACATTTGGGAAGAAGAAAGTATTTACTCCCTTTGTCCCAATTTATTTGCATGTTTGACTTTTCTTGGTCAAAGTTCATAGACAAGTTTTTTAAAAGTTGGGGACATTTTGGAAAAACCAGATACTATAACTAAAATGCTAAAATGCTACGGTTGCTATAAAAAAAGAAATATTGTGGTAATTTCTAATAGTTCCAAAAGCTAGAATATTAACTGATCTACAGTCCTCATTAGGCCAACCAAACCTGGCCTAAGCCATTCACAAACGGTGATGGTAACCCTTGAGAAACGAATACATTTTTAACTTAAGTATAAGGATTTTATATACTTTGTACTAGGCTTTCCCCATTTCCTCTACCGTGAATGTGTGCGACAGTCCATTTATAGCCTTCTTGAGTCCAATATGTACTAAAAAACTTGCAATCCTTAATCTGGTTTGATTTCATAGTCCCATTTCATTGCTAATCCAATCCCGTTAGGCTGTTGGTTATGCTTTTTCAGTACTCTAGTGCTTTTCTCCACTCAATCCATTTAAGACAGTTGGCTGCTTCTGGTCAAGAAGTATTCAGTAAGACCACCTGACACTATGTTCTGGACAGGTAACAAATCCAAGGCAGTTGTTAATGATGATAAAGCTGTTGTCCTTTACAAGGCAAGTATTTAGCTTATTTGCTCTTTGTGTCGCACGTGTACCCCATTTTTAAACTGCTATTATGATATTTATCTTTTACAGAGTATTTATTTTTATGCAGCCTGAGGAGCATCAACCTGAAACAACCGGTTCATTTTCACCAGATGGGAATTCCAGGTATTAATATCTTTTGCCGGTTCCTGCATTACATAAGTGCTCGTCTGTTCTTTGGATTAATGAGACTCCTTATTGCCTCTTATTTTCCTTCCTATCACTAAGATAACTAGAGTTTGAATAACTAATTGATATGCTATACCTTTAGTTGGTGGCTTGTGCAAATAGACAAATATTGGAAAATGGAAAGCGATTCTAGAATGATGTAAATTGTAATTGACTTTACATGGTGGTTACTGTGATTCAGCTCTGGCTACAAGTGGGGAAAAAAATTCTCTGTTTTTATTCCTTGACTGTAATCTGATTTGTGCTAAGCATTTAATTTTCTTCGTACTTCTTCATCCACTTGTTGGTAGTTGGTTAGCCTGTTGGGTCTCAGTGTCAGTTTTACTAGTTCTTTTGGGAATCAGTACTTTTTCCTTTGTACTTTGTGTGCTTTCTATGCTTGGTGCTTTTTTCCTTCTTTCCTTCGTTTTTTTCTGTTGTTCTTTTTCTACCCTTAGCTTGCTCTTGCATTTGGGCTTTGTGTTCTTTGTTGTTGTGATTGATAATCAGAGGTGTTCCTCATTATTCATTATTACATAATACAACATGACTATATATACATAAGAAGGGTGCTAATATAAGGAAACTAAATCTCCCATATTAATGCCTAAATCACCCATATTAATGGCCAGATCAGATCCTGCCATATTCTCAGGACTTAACTAAAATACTAATATTATTACTAATAACACTCCCCCTCAAGTTGGAGCATATATATTTATCATGCCCAACTTGTTACATAAATACATAAGCCTGGTGCCATTTAGCGCTTTAGTAAGGAGATCTGCTAATTGATCTCCTGTCTTCACAAATCCAGTAGAAATCAATCCCTTCTGTATTTTCTCCCGAACAAAGTGACAATCTACTTCGATATGTTTTGTCCTTTCGTGAAAAACTGGTTTGGATGCAATATGAAGAGCAGCTTGGTTATCACACCATAGTTTCGCAGGGATGGGAGCTTTGAAACCAGTTTCACTCAGGAGGTGATATATCCATATTATTTCACACGCAGCTTGTGCCATGGCTCTATATTCAGACTCAGCACTAGAACGAGAGACAACGTTCTGCTTCTTGCTCTTCCACGAAATCAGATTCCCACCCACAAAGACACAATAACCGGAGGTGGACCTACGATCATCCTTCGACCCTGCATAATCTGCATCTGCATAACTTTCAAT